CTGAGCAATTCTTTGGCCCTTGGTAATATGTAATGGAGGAAATGGAGTGTACACAATGATGTGAATTTCCCCCATGTAATCTGCATCGATAACCCCAGGTAAAACAAATAACCCCAACATAGAAGCAGAGGAGCGCCCCAGGAGAAGGGCTTCCACTGTCCGTCCATTAATGACGACTGGTCCCTTTATTCCACTTGGGACCTTAATGGGTTTAGGAGTGATCAGAGTTACAGTCACTGCGACTGCCAGGTCCACACCGAGACTTCCTTCGGTGGCAGGTTGCAAGCTGGCAGCGTCTGTTGCTGGGTAACAGCTGCTACTTGTGTCGGAGTGCGGCTGCTGTGATGACTCGAMGCACTGACTCCGGAGTTTCCCGGATGCTGATGACATGCTTCGGCGCTGTGCGAGCTTGAACGACGCTTGGAACACCGGATTTCTGGGACCCAACAATCCCACCGAGTGTGGCCGAACTGTCCACAGCGGTAGCACTTTGTCCAGTCGCTGGACGGAGCCTTGGGGCTGAGTGCTGCAACAACTTGGAGGGATGCAAGCGCGGCCAAAACCTCACTCTGGTTAGCCTGAGTTTGTTCTTTTATTACTGTTTCCAACTCCTTAATCGCCCCTACTAACATTGCGACACGTTCAAGTGCTTCTTCAATAGTCCAATTAGCTCCCAGTGTGCTGAGTACGCTTCTAGTGGCAGAATTACAGTTTTGAAGTGCACACTGCTTGAGCATTATAGTATTTAAGTTGTCAGGGACTCCTGCTTTCTGTATAGCGGTAGCAACTTTATCTATGAAATTACCGAAAGCTTCATCCCGCCCCTGTTTTATACTCATAAATGTTGGTACACCTCCTGGCTCTTTTATTTTATCAATGGCCATTCGCGCCAGGCGCATCGATTCTCTGCACTTCTCAGGGCCCATCCGGACCTGCGTTTCCGTGCGCAAATATGGCCCGCGACCCAACAGCTTGTCCAGAGTCACCCCCTGAAGAGGATCCCCAGGAGCCCGCAGGGTCATAACGCACTGTTGGCTTAAAGCTTGCCAATGCGCATTAAACAAAAGCTGCTGATGCTGTGTAAAAATAAGTTTGGAAATACCTTTACAATCTGCCAGTAACAGAAGCTGTGTCCCCCATAGTTAGTCTAGCATCTGTTTAACTGGTTCACTAGTGACTCCATACTGACTGACTGTAGCACGAAGCTGCGATAAAATTTTCCAATCCAGAGCGGTAATAGTTGCATCTATTTCACCTTGCGGCGTTGGGTTAAACACTACTGGGCACGCAAGATCTTTCACCGCTTCTAGGCCCTCTGCGTCTCCGCCGCATATGSACTCTTGCGCAACAGAAGCCCACATGTCCCTTCTCTTCCGGGTAACGGCAGTAGCCAAGTCACCTTCTGGCCCAGGGCTTCCCAGGCCACCTTGCAAARTGACCTCTGCCGGGCCGCTTCCGGCCTCGCTACTAGGGCAACATGGCGACTGTAGCGGTGACAGCGGCGGCGGTGTGGACGACCGCAGCACTGACGGAGCGGATGGCCATGTAGGCCCCAAACTCCCAGGTACAGGGTTAGGCCCACTAGACTCTGGGATCGCGGAGGGCAGCAGCCTAACGGAGCACACGGTAGGGGGTAGAGGACAGCCGGAATAATTTAAGTCGGATTTTAAATTTCCCTCTTGTGTGACATTAATTTGCTGGGCCGCTTTTCTTTCCGCTTGATACCTAAATATTTCGCCCATAACTATCGTATACAATTTCCCCATCCTTACTGCTGTCCCATCATCACCCGATAAAGCGTCCCAAATTTTGTCGGAGAATATTCTCCACTCGGCTACTTTAAATACAGTAGCTGGATCTTTAAAACAACCCTGATTGTATGCGTAATTTAATAACTCTGGGATCTCCTTATGGAGATCTAATCCCCTAACCTGTCGCTTTTCTAAAAAGCATATAAGTAATTGAGCCGCTTTACTTTCCATATTAATCCCAATGCGCTGCAACAATCTCCACCAAGTCTCCCACGGCGATGTTGTCGGCCAAATGCTTCCTTGCGAGGCACCTGGGTCACGGTACCGGTAAATCCCGCCAGCACTTTTGACGTCTCCCAATCCAGAGACCYGAACTCCTTACAACTTGTCAGCTGAGTCGTCCTATGAAGCACTCAGGGCACGGTGCCGTCCTGGCACTTTTGCCATCCCGAACTCTTCGGGCCTGACGTTTTAACGTCCCCCAGCCGTGACCTTCTGGCCCCACGACCTGCGTGTCCGCCGTACCGATCCACTTCGGTGCCGTCCCGATCACAACGGCGTTCACCAATTTGTCGGAGCGGTCATTTGCTGAGAGACAGGACAGACACAGAAACAACCTAGTAGACGTGGTTGAACGTGCAATCTCTTCAACTTTATTGTGCGATACGGGGGTTTTTATACCCTTGGCTTGTAATGGTGACGGCGGTTAAACGTAATGCTTTTTGTAACAGAGATAACGGTAACTTAACGTTCACAAGCCCTTACTAACGCCATAAAATCCCTTATATGGCAGTTCTGCCGTTGCAGGAGGTGCATGCTGACTCCCCTTGCCATAGAGTCACATTGCTGCTTCTCACAGCCTTGAGGGTACTCGAGACAGACCCTACTGGAACAGTTACAGCACCTGCCGGCTGCTGGCCAACGGTGGCCAAYGGTACAGACCGTTCCAGAACCTTCACGAGTCTTCTCTGCCCTTACCAGGCCTAGGCCTCATAGTGGCTTACCACTCTGGAGGGAGGGAATATGAGTACCTAATGCAAAGAAATGGCACTACTTCTATTTCTCCAAAGCTAAGGGGATGCTTCACTCTCCTGTGCTGGTTGCTGGATGTCTCCTGGCATGTGAGCTCAAAGAGAAAGTTTTTATTTTAATAACAGCACCTTCCTCCATTTTTTGTTTTTCTTGATGTGGTTTTTTTTTTTTTTAATTGATGGAATATTGTCTCGAAAGGGAAAACCAGAGTCCCGCTAAAAGAGCCAAATCTGATATGATGCAGCAGCTGGGGCACCACTTTGATCTACAATATCCCTGGATTAGATTCTGCATATGTTCCTGTGTGATGCTGGAAGACATTAACAAAGAACAAAGCTCATAAAAATCTCCCTCTTTTTAAACAAACAAACAAACAAACAAACACCAACAAAAAAAAACCACTAGAAAGTTTCTTCTCACTGATGTTGAATACTCCCTGTTGGGCTGCAGCTTGGAGGGACAGTTGCTTCCCTGGTGCCTCTTATCACTAGGCTGTCTGTATGTTGCCTTTATGTCCCGAACTTCTATGAGGCAAAACTTTCATCTTATCACAAATTATTTAAATCTTCTTTCKCTCTCCAGCCCAAGCTTATTCATCTAACTCAATTTGCAAACAGACTGTGTAACTCAGCTGCCTCCTTTAATGCCAGCCCAGTTTTGGAGTGTCGTACTTTCTGCTGTGGCATTTGGTCCTATTCACTGCCAACCCCCAGGCAGCACTCTAGAAATTTGTGTCACACTCCCAGTCTCCTGTGCATCCTTTCTTTTGGGTCTTGCCAGCCCTCCCTCACCCCCAGGGCAGTGTAGGAGGGAGCTTCCCCTCCCTTACCCAAAGGATTTCAGTGTGCTCCAGTTTGCCCTCCAGTTCTGGCCATCCTCCTGCTAATGCTGGTGGCCCACTGGCCTTTCCCCCACTGTATTTTCTTCCCTTCTCCCTGACATTATTTTTAATTCACTTACATTCTGTAAAAATCATACTGACATCAAGTGGGGCTGTGGCCAGAACTAAGTCAGAAGCATCTATCTGCTGGGAGGCAATAACTCCACTACTCATGAGGTGTTTTCAAGGTGATAATTAGGGTCAGTGGATACCATGTCACACAACATTAGTCCCCTACTCCTTCCAAGCTCTCTGACTCCTCCCTAYATCAATGGGCTGTGCTCATGGTTGCCTTTTAGACACCACATAATTCTGGAATTGGCTGACTTCACCAGCATCCTCAAAAGGCTTCACTGGGGCAGATACTTGTCCTATAGTTGAACAAAAAGGTTTGTTTTGCTTCATGGGGAAAAAAGAGTTTGAGATAAAAAATATAAAAAAAAATTCAAACTGTTGAAGAATGGTTACTTTCTTATCAAATTACATTTTCAAGAGGTATGTAAAACATGCAGGCTGAGTTAGCATTGCATACCCTACACAAATGCTCCAAACTGATACCTCCTTATGGGGATTCTCAAGAAGAGAATAAATTACATTAAAAAGAAAGAGAAATAGAAATAAAATAATTTAAAGGAAAAGGCCATATGTCAAGTTCATCAGATCAGTGTAACTCTACTTCAGCATATGATTAACTCCCAAATTTCAGAATCCTAGGGATTTGTGCATACATTAATCAAGTCAGATCATACTTAGGGCACATAAAAAACCCCCAAAAATGGCATTCTGGTCTCCAGCATATAAAAAATGATTTCTGTAATCACTCTGTTAATTACTTCCTCTTTATCAGAAAATTCTATTAAATTTAGCTTGCTAATTTATCACTACCATAACAATATTTGGTATTTTGCCCTTACTTGGGATTTGATTCTGGGAAAACCTGAGYGTTTATTAAAAAAGATAATTTTAAAAGGCTTGAACCATTGAATAAGATGTCATGAATATGCAAATTAAGTAGGCCTGAAAGGCTCAGAAGCCAGCAGGCTAATTGAAAAAACCTACCATTTATTAAAAAAAAATMAAAAAAATAACAACAAAGAAAAGGCCTTTCATGATTTTCAAGACAGTTTCCTACTGCTCAAGGATCTGATACATGTGGCTTAAAATCCTGATCCTGATCCTGTTGCTGAACTTAAAAAAGTTATGAGAAGTAGAAACCTGCTGATGTACTGTTTAATTCAGCTGGGCAACATGTTTTGTCCAGAAGTGTACCAACTCCTTGTGACTTCTTTATGCTTTTCTCAATTCCTCTCCTCTTTCTCCCTTCTGTTTTCTTGCAGTGTGAGATCTGAGCACTTGCACTGCTCCGAAGTCCGTCCCATTTGCTTTGCACTTGCTCTTCTGTTTCTACTGCTGTTTGCTTGGACTTCTCCCTAGGCTGGAGCTGCAAAGAAACAGCCAGTTGCAGAATTATGCTAAGGCAGCCTCAAAGGGGAAGGCATCTCACCAGCCCAGAGACCCAGGGAGATCCTGTGGCATTGCAGCAATTGCCAGTGCCTCCACCAGCTTCTCCTTCCCTGCCACAGCAGGTGACCCACCATCTTCTTCAGCTCTTTGTGCTGTTACCTGCCCCACTGGGCCCTAGGGACAAGGTGGGCAGCCCCCTCCTGGCCCCATTAGGATGTTGGAGGGGTTGATGTGTCAGGGAGAAGGGCTAGGGCATTGAAGACCTCTTGGAAGCAGYGCTGGGGCAGATGTCCTTCTCAGGCTGCCATTTCTGCGTCCACACTTGTTACAGTTTCCATCACAGTCTCCTGCATATCCACGGCTGCTTTCCCATGCCCAGCCCCCTGGACAGAAAGATATATGTAGGCAACTAATGCTATTTACATTTGTAAATATTTGTCTTAATGTTCTAAGGGAGCGGTTTTGGCCATATTAAGGCCCCTTTCTATAACTAGTCAAACTGCACCAGCAAAAAAAATGTTCAGAGATGTGGAAAGAGGTGCTGGCTCTGCGTGACAAGCTCTCTCACCCTCAGTGCTGCTGGAATTATAATTTGATAGATGCTGTGAATCAAATTGACATGATGCTGCTTCTTAAAGTCTTTGTTTCAAATTTTATAGCAGTGTTCCTGCCAGCATATGCTTATCACCAAAATGTTGCTTTCCTCTGATTTTCTGCCTCTCAAAGGAGGGTAAGAATGTCCTGCTGTGATTGGGAGCAGGCACAAAAAGCCCCAGATTACTTCTTGAAATGAGGTCTGAGGACAAAACCAGATCCAACTATTCATTATAGGGGAGATTTCCCCAACTAAGCATACAAGGGGTTCTTTGTATGGCCAAGGTGAAGGTAGTCCTAAGGCAATACTGTTTAAAACCACATCCCCACTGCTCCAGACAAAGTCTCCTGTTCAAATAAATTGCACTAATGCAGCAGTCAGCAATAGGGGAGTTTAGAAATGCATGTTCATCTTCTAGTCACATACAAGTCCAATGCTATTTCAAGTTCAGCACCTGAAAAAATCTTTATTAGTCCCTGATATATTCAGTGTGGACACTGAACATAAAAAAAACAAAACAAAACAAAACAAAACAACATTAAATGCTTCCGTTCTCATTGCCCATAAAGGCAAAAAAAATGTTTGATCATCCCTACAAACCTCTACCTGAGATGGACTGTTGTACTGTGCTCCTGTGGCCTCTGCTCAGCCCCCCATTCTTGCTCTGCTGTGGTTGTGTCTTGGGTTGATTTTTGTGCCAATTCTGTTATGTATTCCTATTCTCSTTGGCTTGTATGCCCAAAAGGTGTTTGTACCTTTAAATGCAACCCGGAAGAAGGAGCAGGGGCTGCTGGGAAGGTGACGCGGGCAGTTTAAAAGCCGGTGCTGCCACACAGCCAGGGCTTTTGGGAGCTCTGCTCTTGCTCTGCTCAGCGCCAGGGGAGTCCTTGCTCACTGTTTGCAGCAGAGTTACATTGTTGCAGTTTTAGCTAGCTCGGGTCTGTTAGCTTCGGCAGCTTTCCGCGGACAGACCTCCTCTGCGGCTCCTGTGATTCTGCTTCTGGAGCAATTCAGTGACCGGTGGGGCTCCCTCTCCTCTGGGATTCCGGAAGCCAAGCCAGCAACAGAAACACACCGAGCCCTCTGATCCATCCACAGTGAAGAAAGGACTGTAATACAGGTTTTTAGGTTTTCTTTTTGCCACTGTTACGGGAACGGCCACGTGGGTTTTTTCCTTTCTTGTTTCTTTTTTTTTTCCTGGGGACGGGAGCCATTTTGTCCGCGCCACGTGGCGAGCGGGAGGGGGCAGAGGGGTTCCTGGGCTTTTGAATGTCTAATGGTTACTTTTTAATCTGTGTCCTGTGGGCACTGTGTTTTGTTAATAAACTACCTTTTTTTCTCTTCACTTTTTGCCCAGCATCTATTTCTTATTGGTGGGGAAAAATTATCAATTTTTTTTTTTCACTTCAGAAACATTTACTCTGTAATGTTTTTTCTCTGAAAACATTGTCTCAAAACCGAGACAGGTTGACAGCCCTGAGCAACCCTGCCTATGTTTAATCCAGGCATAGAAGACCTTCCATATTTCTACTCTGGTTCACCCATATTGTGCTAATTTTTCTTTCCCATGTATTTTCTTTAAAGGCAGGCTTTTGTTTAGCCACTGCTCCCCACACCAGGAGAAGCCTTCCATCAGTGGTGGGAAGTTTTCTGCCTGGGTATTGAGCAGAGTACTTAGAAATCTCTGGGAGTTTAAGGCACCAAGCAACTACAGTGTTATTTTCTAACTCAAGTACTTGAAAGGAACTAAAATATCATCTCTCTCTGCACTGTAGATCTATTTCATATTCCTCCCTTATCTGCAAGCAGAAGTTCTACTGACATTAGTTGGAGTTTTGTGTTCAAAATACAGTAAATAGCAAAGTCCTCAAAGCAAACAAAATAGGGAAACAAAGACATATCAAACACAAGAGAAAAATCTTGGATGGTGGGCATCCAGCATCAGGGGTCACCACTGAAAAATATACATGTGATCTTTCTATGCATTGTTTTCCTCCTGTAACTAGAGTTTGCACTACCATATGGATAGATTCATTTAAATTTATTTCAATGTCTTGTTCATCCAGACATAATAGAGCACCACATAATGGCTAATGAATACACACATAAGCTTATCCGAATAGAAGATGCTCACAGATGAGGTTTTGAATGCATGGCTGACACTCAAAAGCCCAGCCTGTGTGATTTTGCCTGCATTGATTTGAAGTCTAGTTAAATATGCACATATATGGGGAAAGATGTCAGGTCATGTTAGTGTGCATCATGTACCCCAACACACAACCAAGATGACTRTTGTGTGTAAAAATAGCAGGAAAGCATGAATCTGCTTGTGAGCAACTGAATCAGGAGCTGTGAGTGGGGCAGGGAAGAGCCATGCTAGTGTGTCATGTAGAGGCTGCTTTGGACAACACTGAGCTCGTCTGCAGGAGGGTCTGTGAGGCCTGATGGGTTCCTGGAGGCTGTGGAGCACTGTGGAGCACTTCTGATATGCGGAAACAAACTCCTGTGCACAAAATGCAGATGGGCTCTGTGTGAGTTTTAGCAAAATATGATAAGAGCTGTTCTGGTAGATTCATCAGTAGAGCACCAAAACACCCTCCCTTTAATGGCAATCCTGGCCTCCTCTCTCACCCTAAGCTGAAAGGAGCAAGGCTGTTATATATCCTGGGGAGAGTGAGGASTTATCTTTACTCTGGTAACAGGCTGCCACAAAGTCATTTGCTCTCTCTGTTCAGTACCAACTCTCAGACTTCACCCTTGAAATACATTCCTGTCAGGCCACATCATAGACAACCACCACCTCAAAGTACAGATGCAGCCTGCACATACTGGAGCTATTTTTGAGATGTCATGTCCTTTCCTGGGATGAAGAAGTTGTGGTAATGCATCTACAGCCATTTTCAGTGCGTGCTTCACTCTATTTGATTAAGCAGGCAATTTTTGCTTTCATCCTTTCTGTGAAGGACCTACACCGTGATTCCTGTGGGATGATACCTGCAGAACTGATCTTTTCTCACAAATGAGCAGTGCTGCAGTCATGCTGAGTTTTTCTCCAAGAAAATTGCCTGGAAACCTTCCAGTATCTCCTAATCCTGCTTTCCATCCCAACAACCAGCACAACCCTAATCTGATCGGGGAAGCAGGTTCTGCAACTACGGGGCAATGATGACATGCTTGGGACATTTGTGTTCTTGTCCAGGAAACCCTATGATTGCTAACAAGTCCATCCTTCTTYATTTGGGAAAAAAATGAGAGAGAGAGGAAGACAACCTTTCTTTTTCTCTGTTAGTTTCATAAGATTGCGCCCATGCCCCCAGGGGTGAAGGAAGAGCCCTTTTTTTTTTTCTGGGATAAGAAGGCATGCAGGRATATTTTTTAGAGGGACACTATAGAAGAGTCAGAGTTTCTCTAACCTGACCAGTTTGGTTCAGCCTGGGTTAGATAAATATTTGCTTTGAAATGGGTGGAAAGCTATGGAAAAATCCCACTTTCTACAGGGAAAACTCCCATCAGCTTCAGACAGTTTTGCTTAAATGTAGCCACCAAAACATGGCCCCAAGAGGATGAAAGCTTGTATGCAAAGGACTTGCATAACAGTTGCGAGATCCAGAGTGGCTTTCTCTACCCTGCAAAGACTGATGCAGCCTCTGGCCAGGAGGACGTGAGGCCCACAGTTTGTCAACCCATGTGACAGAACTGTGCTACAGCACCTGCTTCGATTATTGTGCTTCTGATTRGAATGTAGTAAAACTGGAAGAGCCAGATCAAAATCTGCCAGCGCCAGGGAGCTGTGAGCCCCTGGGAGCATACAGCACAGGAGAAGCAGCTTAGGAGGGAGTGCACACTGATGGAGGATAAGGGTAGGGGCAGCAGGGAAGAGCCTTTATTTCAGTGACTGCCCTAAGGGCAACCATGGTCTCTGTGATGCTCCATGTGTCAGCTCTGAGCTGCACAAGCTCAAGACAACTGCATGGAGGTGTTTGCTCTGGCAAGGGACTGATGGGGTGCTCTAGACCCTGGCATCACCCCACTAAGTCAGTACCCTTCTGCTGTGGGATGAAGCACATCTGGAGGGCTGGCTCTGAAAAGTCCCTGGGGAGGGCCACATTCCCCTTGCCATGGGAAAGCTGTGCTCTCTAAGTACTTACAAGCCACATACCATTGCCTCAGTGAAGACCTCAGCTCTTCCCATCATTTCACAGTTATTTCTGTTAAAGGCACCTCTTCTGCCTGATCCAGGACCACACAGTGCAAGTACTCACTGGAGGAGTAGAGAAAATATTTAAATGGCTCTGAGGATCACTTAGTATCAAACACCTTTTTGGTCATCTCAGAGGAAATGCCCTTCCCCCAGCTTCCCACCCCACTGCTCTCTTCCTTGTCTGGCTCTAGGGGAGGGAGGGGGGGGAGATAGGTGCTGCCCCCCAAACTTTCCTGGAGAAGGGGGAACAGAAACCCATCAGAAGCCCAAAGGAGTTTCCTCTCTGTTGTGTCATTGTTGGTCCTCACTACTCCCCTGCCCCTTCATCACCTCATTTGGGAAGAAGGAGAGGAGCTGAAAACACCTCTTAGATGCTTTCCTCCCCCTGGAATGGGGAACAGCTGACTGTGACACTGTGGTTGCCCTCTTCTCCCTTTACCACCTCTGGGGCAGAAAATGCAGATCCCCAAGAGCTGTGGGTGTGAGCTGGKTGGTGCAAGCTTGACAGGATGTAGGGTTCTTGTTGGGGTAAAAATATTGCAGAGCTGCTGGGCATGTGGGTGCCTCCACTGGGGTTAGGGCTTGGGGAGGGTTTGTAGAGCAGAGCAGATATTGCGACAAGTGTATCAGGTGACAGGAAAAGCAGGGTCTTTTTGGGCTTTGTCAGTCCCCTAATGGGCTCTTAAAATTAATTACCCAGTGGATAAGTGAACCAAAACAGGGACAGCAATATAGCAAGCCCTTAACACATGTGCACACATGCGTTTTTCTAGGCCATTTTTGGAACAGCCTGGCAGTACCTTGGTCTTCATAGAATACCAAATCCATCTCATCTCTCATTTCTCATTTACAAGTGACCCTGAATAGATGTGTTGAGCCTTTATTTGCAATTTGATCAATACACTGCTCAAGACAGGCAATATAAAGACAAGGTGTGGGGGATCATCTGGAAAGGGGGTGATAAAAGACACTCTTAAAAGATGAAAATCATGTTGTGAGCAACTGTTGAAAACACCATTGGTTCTCATTAGACATCAGTAGGTGCAGAAGAGGAAAAATCCACCAAGATAAAAAACTGTGAAAGGTGAAGGGACATAGGACTACAAGAATCATGAGGTGGGATGAGTGGAAGCTATCAAAAAATGGTTGGATCCTTCTGATGGGCAGCAGGTGTAAGGAAGGTGTTTCAGGATGTATTTCATGTTCTTTCCCTGATCAATATTGTGCCCTATATGCAAGCAGGGAAACCACGAAGCTCTAGCTATGCTGCTAGACAGAGTTGAAGGGATGGTGAGAGACAGAGAGAGAAYAGGGACAAAACAGATAGTAACATATAAAATTATACCATCCGTGTCTTAGAAATGTTTTGTTTTCTCCTTTGCTTATAGAGATGCCATTTCAGATACAGACATTTTTCCATAAAGATGTCAAGTTAGATGACACTGTTTTGTCCCCAGTCTCTTGCACACTCCCAGGGGAGGAGGTCGATGTGGCCCTAGTTTTGCAACAAACACCCATCAAAAGCTTCTGCATTGCTTTTGGTGTAAACAGAGACTTCTGTCTACTTCTGTGCTGATGCCATGTCCCTGCTATCTCTTGGCAGATGGTTTGTTTGCTCACACATTCACTCCTAATCAATCCTCTTTCAGATGAATTGTATCAAGCCTTAATAGCAAAGGCATATTTATGATACTTTTTAAGTTAATGAAGCTAGTTTTGTCTAAATTTTGTCAGGAAACAATCTCATGGACAGTTTACATGTCTGGCATATGCACCAGGCAGGGAAAGTGGGGAGCAAGTGCAATGAGGAGAATGGTAACTCAGGGTCCAGTTCAATAAAGGACCTGAAATATTCAGCCAGGTTTTAAAGAAATAAGCATCTCATTACACAGAAGGTTGTCCTGCAAGCTCATGCTAGCAACAGTGAATGGAGGACTTCCCAATCCAGATGCTCACAGGGCTAGGATAAAATCCCTACACTGGGATGGTGGGTATTCTCCAGCGCCTGTTCAGCACCACCAAAATGCATTGCTGCTGCTGCTGCTGCACTTGTAGAGATGCAGCACTCCATTCAACCAAGGAAATTTTGACATTGCAGACAGCCTCTTTATAAGCTGGAG